TAGGTGTGGTCCCACCTTTTACCTCCCTCTATCAAACCTCTCCCCTTCCCTCCCTTCCCACTCCTTATCTCTCCTTCATCCTGGGTATGGTTGTGTTCTATCTTTCATAACAAAGTGTGAGTAAATATAAATTGGTTTCATAGAAGTACTGAGTACATTGGATACTTTTTCCTCCATTCTTGAGATACTTTACTCAGGAGAATATGTTCCAGGTCCCTCCATGTAAACACAAAAGAGGAAAAGGCTCCATCTTTTTTTAAGGCTGCTTGGTATTCCATGGTATACATATACCACAAGTTATTAATCCATTCGTGGATCCATGGGCTGGGGAATGATGGCTGACGGGAGCCAGCTTTCAACAGATTAAGACTCAAGTTTTTACAAGCATCATTGGAATTCAGCCTGAGGCTCTTGCTCTATTTCTTTCTCTCCTCCGGGAGAGGAGGGGATATTGCTCTCTGGGCCATTACAAGATGAATGAGCAGAAAAACCCAGATGGTCAGACAACCTAGGCCAGCCAGTTAGTGGTGAAGCAACAGGCAGAGTTTTAAAAACAGAGAAGCCATAAGAAGAGAAACTTACTGATCTTTTCTACTAACTTAAGCATCACGCCCCCGATGTGCAGGTCTCCGGACACTCTCAGTGTGACGTCTTTCTGCTCTGCTATGCTGGGATGGTCGACATGGACCACGAGCTCCCAGGAAGCAGCCGCAAAGTCACTGGATGACAGCATTGTGGCAAGTGCAGGTGTCTGCAGAAGATACAGGCGGACGGAGATCGGGATGTGAGAAGGGAACCAGAACGTGCCCGTAGACCCAGCAGAGGAAAACAGTTTTCTTTTGTTTTTCATTTTAGCCTTCTCTTCCAAAAAACTGCAGGATTCCCATTGCCCCAGATATTAAACTCATCATCTTAACTTAGTCTTATAAAAATGGTCTCACACTATCTAGATTTACACACATTATTTCTCCATCCACCCACTCTTCCAGGATCACTTGGCTATGCATTTTCTTTGTCAGCCTGATGTATCAATTTTTTTTTTTTTTATTAGAGAGAGTCTCATTTTGTTGCCCTCTGTAGAGTGCTGTGGCGTCACATCTCACAGCAACCTCCAGCTCTTGGGCTTTAGGTGATTCTCTTGCCTCAGCCTCCCAAGTAGCTGGGACTATAGGCGCCCGCCACAGTGCCTGGCTATTTTTTGGTTGCAGTTTGGCTGGGCTGGGTTTGAACCCACCACCCTCGGTATATGGGGCCAGCGCCCTACTCACTGAGCCACAGGCGCTGCCCAGTGATGTATCAATTTTAACTTTTCCTTCTTTACTACTTTTCTTGACTGTCTCTGGGCTATTTGAGCAATGGGCAATCCTTCATGTTATCTTTTTAAGAATCAACTTTATCGAGGCATAATTGCCTAAAGGAAAACACACACCTTTCCCTATCTAGGCATGGCGTCTGTAGCTCAAGTGGCTAGGGTGCCAACCACATACACCAGAGCTGGTGGGTTTGAATCCAACCTGGTCCTGCCAAACAACAATGACAACTACAACCAAAAGCTAGCCGGGCGTTGTGGTGGGCGCCTGTAGTCCCAGCTACTTGGGAGGCTGAGGCAAGAGAATCACTTAAGCCCAAGAGTTGGAGGTTGCTGTGAGCTCTGATGCCACAGCACTCTATCGAGGGCAACAGTTTGAGACTCTGTCCCCAAAACAAACAAATAACAAAAAAACCTTCCCTTATTCCTAATACATATAAATTACTATATTCCCCTTACAAATATTGATGACATTTTCTTGTATGGAAGTTCACAAAATAAAGCAGAATAATTTCTACTTCAGTCATTATTGTATATAGTTCTTTATCTTAAATGCATATAAAGATATAAGTCATTAATAATCACTGTCATGGATTTGATTTACTGAAGTTATTGTTTTATATCATATACAAATTGATAGATAAATGCATCAATTTTTTGGATACACCTTTGGCAAAAGATTTTAAAAGAGGAGCAACAGACATAAAAAGCTTATTCTTCAAAGTACAGGTGTGGGTGTGAACTTCAAACCGTGGTGTTCTTTTCATTGGAGCAGCTAGAAGAAAAGAAGCTAAGCACAATGTGTCAGAGGATAAGGGGAGCACCAGAACCCCAAATTGGCAGAATTTAAACAAAGCTTGAGATGTCAGCTCTCTCTTATTTCTGCTCTTCGCTATTTTAAACAGTTAAAGTAAAAATCATTTGAATGATTAGAATGAATTTTTTCCACTTCACCGTGCAAGGACAGCTCATGAGAAATCTGTGTTTCCAGAAGGCCCATTTTGGAGAAATATCAATGTGCTCACACTCCCGAGAACAGGCTCTTCTGACAGTGCACACAGATCCCTCAGGATCTTGTTAGGATGCAGATTCTATCCAGCAGGTCTGGGCTGGGCCCTGAGTTTCTCCAAGCACCAGATGATACCGGTCTGCGGCTCACTCAGCCAAGGGAAAAGTGAACTCCAGGCCTCGGTTCCTCCCTCCCACCTACCCAAATCAATACTAAACCGAGGACTGTGGTGACATCTGAGGACCACTCTTTCTAATAACAAGCAATAATTAAACAATCAATATCATATCTGTTCTGTGTTGATTTGAAACTGCACATTTGTAAGCATAAGAGAATCTCAAAATACACTATACAGTAAATCTGAAGAGATTTAGGACACATTTTATGTGTTCTAACCAAATTCAAGAGTTCAAAAGTAGCTCCTTATATTTTCATAGACAGAAGCATACACTGCTGCAATGTATCTACTCCCCAGGCACAAAGGCTCACACAGAGCCCTCTTGCACCAGGCAGGCATTAGTCCTAACTGCTTGCCTCTGTCATCATCAGCTTCATCTATGACACAGTGATGTGCCCTTCATTTCCTACAGGCTTCTGTTATCCCCTTCATCCTCTTTGCAGCCTTACTTAGAAATATGGACACCCAGGTTCAGAGAGGTTAGGCAACTTATCTAAAGTCACCCAGCAAATTTGATGGTGGGAACCCACGTAGAAACACAGGTCTCTCTAACTCCAAACTCTAATCCACCACAGTGGGAAATGATCTTGATAAATGTTGCAACACCAATACGAATGAAAACTAAAACGACAGGGAGGAAATTCGATTGCTTCTACTAAGCATTTCTATTAACACAAATCTTTCCCAGCAAAAAGACAATAAGGGGGCAGCGACCAGCAGCTCAGTCAGCAGAGCCCCAGCCACATGCCCGAGGGTGGCGGGTTAGAACCCACCTGGCCAGCTAACGACAACAATGTAACTGCAACAACAACAAAAATTGCAGGTGTTGTGGCAGGCGCCTGTATAGTCCCAGCTACTTGGAAGGCTGAGACAAGAGAAAAGCTTAAGCCCAAGAGTTTGAGGTTGCTGTGAGCTGTAACGCCAAGGCACTCTACTGAGGGCGATAAAGTGAGACTCTGTCTCAAAAAAAAAAAAGACAATAAGGACATCTCCTTCAAACTCATAATGTGGCATTGAACTGCTTGACTTGAAGAATTTCTCCATTGCCAGAACTGAAGGTTGTTATTTAAAATGTTTTGTACATATAGAAAGTAAACTTTCTTTTATGGTTTCACGGGGCAATCAGATGAAAGGTCTTGTTCTTTCCTAACCTGGGCGATCAAAACACTACTCCTTTGGGCAATACCTGGTGATTCCTTTGCAGCGAAATGCGGCTAAAATTAGACAATCTGGTTTCCCCGCATTCCTCTGCTATCTTTCTGCGCCTTCATTTTGGAGTGAACGTCTCATCTGCAACAAGCTGTTACTTGTTGAGGAGAGCCGCAAACTTCAGCGGGAACACTGCATGTAGGGATATCTAACCAAGAAGCTCAACAGCCCTTCACAGAAAACGAAAGAAAAATACAAGCAAAAAGGAAGAAAAAGAAGGAAAGGAAGGAAGGAAAAGGTGGGGGCAGCAGTCCCCGAGGCTTCTTTCCCTGGAGGATCCGAGCGCGCTCGGTGTCCGAAGGCCACTCGGCCAGTCTTTGGCCAGCTCTGCAGGGGCCGGAGTCAGACGGTGGGTGGACAGCAATCTGTCCCTTATCCCTATTAGGCTGGACTGAAAGTTTGTTTTGCGCGCTGGAGAAGGTGGTCTCAACCGTAAGAAATTATGTTCAATGTAACAGCTATTTAAGGGCAGGGGGCTGCAAAAAGAAAGCGGGCGGGGGGCTCAGGAGGCACTGGCGCCCATCGCAGCCTCCGGCTCCAGCTCCTGCCGCAGTGCCTTACCACTCACCTCCTTTCCCGGAGCCTGAGGCGTCCAGCCTCGCACACTTGCAGAACTGCGCCCCTAGAGACCACCCCAGGCCGTGCCCGGGGGCGGACGCCGGCGAAGTGGGGCGCCGAGTCGCAGCGGGCGCTCGTCTAGGCTGCGGCGGTCGCGGGCCGGAACTCCCGCCGAGGCCGTGCGCCTGCCCCGAGCCGCGCGCTGCGCCGGGTGCGCGGTCCCCGCCCTGCGCGGCCCCCAGCGGCCCGGCCGGCTCGGGCCAGCGAGCTGCGGGGCAGGCGAGGGCACGCCCGGCCCGGGCCTGCTAGGTCTCGCTCCTGGGGAGAAGAGTCGCAGTCCGCAGAAGATTTTTTTTTTTTTTTAGAAATAGGGTCTTGCCCTGTCACCCAGGCTGGAGTGCAGCGGTGTCATCCTGGCTCCTGCAGCCTCCAACTCCTGCGCTCAAGCGATCCTCCCGCCTCAGCCTCCCCAGTCGCTGGGACTACAGGTACGGGCCACTGCGGGGGCTGAAGTTTTAAGGGCCAGCGGGTGGCAGAAAGATTCCTCTGAGCTGGGAGGCGGGGCAAACATCAATGCTAGTTCAACCCCCACAGTCCCTCTGGCGACCTCTCTCTCAGCTTGGGACTCTTGGGCTGCGGGCGGTTTTCCTGTTTCTCCAGACCCGCCCAGGACTAGTCTACGTGTTAAAGCAGCTCCACTTCCCCAGTCCTCCAGGTATATCCATCACTCCCACCACCACGTGTGTCCAGCCCAGGAGACTCCTGCCTCCGGGTAAGAACAACCGTCTCCCTTGTCCAGGAGCCTATGTGATCAGCCAGGGGGCTGAAGCCGAAGCGAGTCATCCCTGAGTAAGAGGGTGATTGAAATCCCGAGAAGAGTGAGACACCGTACAATAGAAGGCCCCATGGCAAAGTCTGGGCCACACCTGGCATGGCTCACCTGGGGATCACTACCCAGTTCCGCTGGGACATTCTTGTTGGATTTGTATCAAAGAGAACGGGGCCACCCAGGAAGGGTGGGCAATTCACACTACCTTTCCAAACCTCCTTCGATCATAAAAGGTCATATAACAAGCCCTGGTTGAGTGCTTCCTGCATTGGGCTCTGAGGGTGCAGTGGTTAAAGAAACAGACAGGAAATTTATGATTTCCTCATCTGTAAAATGAATGGAGGGATGGAATGCCCACCGTGCGGTGCTGGAATTTCATGCAGAATAATACAGGCTTTAGCAATTTGCTTCCATCACACGAAGAGTGAGATAAATTTTAATAGAAAAGGTTTTAAATTTAGAATCTGTGTTTTCACTTGAATATTATCCTATTTAGAAATTGCTATCTTTTCTAAGTTATTTTAGATTTAAAAAGGTCAGTTGAACATTGTCAGGAAATAAAGGATTTTGTAATTAAAATCATTAAAAACTTGAAATGGGCTCGGCGCCTGTGGCTCAAGCGGCTAAGGCGCCAGCCACATACACCTAAGGTG